GTAGATCTCATCGTCCTCTACAAGAAAGGTCCTATGCATTTTTCTTGTAAGTTCAACGGTTTAGGAGTTATTAGCCAAAAACGAAAATTTTGCGAAATCTGAAGGGGTACCCCTTGGAAAAATCTCGGAAAAATAAAAAAACTTTTTTTGGTCAAAATTTCGAGAAATACTTCAAATGAAAGTTGTTTTTCTTCTAAGTTTGATATTTAACGAGTTAACTATGATTAATCGGCATTTTATAGATTCTGGGAAAATATTTTCTCCATGCGATTTGAATTTTGAGTCAAAACATTTTTGAAGAGTTGGCAAATCAGATAAGGTTCATGAACGTGAGGAATACTGTCGACACGACCCTGTCCGAGATTTTCTCGTCTACTCGAGTTCGCCGATCGACCGAATCACGTGGTCATCTCTAGATAGCCCTTGGTGTCCAGGGAGCCGTAGCTGTGAGAGTATCGGCCGCTGTAGGACGCCCGGGACCAGCCCCCGGCCCTGTTGGAGTAACTGTTGCACGCGATCAGCGAATTCATGCCGCTGGCTTTCCCGTCGATCGGCACGCCTTGGCCACGGTGACGGTGGCTTCCGCTCCGCGAGTGCCCACTGTCCGTCAACGGTGTCCTCAGGTCGTCCACGCCGCTGATCTCCGTATATGGTTTACGTCTTCCCGTGCAACTGCTGAGGAACGCCGCTGCCACCACGCCCTGAGAATTTATCAAGTCACTTCTCTTTAGACTCGAGGGTTCAAACATGTCTTAATAAAATAATTTTAATCAATTTAAATAAATATACATTCATGACGTTCGTAAGTCCATAAGTTCGTTCTGTCTATTGTATGTTTTAATGATTGTAATTTACTGTAAATTAGATGCTTTATGACTTGTGGATTAAAGGGACGTCGACATTTAAATTGCATTTAGATTACTATTAGCTTGTTAAATTTGTATTCTTGTGGACGTCTTACCACAAGCAGATGAAGCAACACGATGAACATAGAAGCATTCCTGAATCCGATATTGTCCAACAGGATTCCTGCTACGCTGGGTCCAATGAAGGCTCCAAGTGCAAACGTGCTCGTCCATAGCCCACTAATTAAGCCATAAGTTTCCAGAGTATTTGGAAATCCATATTGCCTAAATAAATGACAGAAATCTTCAATTACCAATTTTTATTATTCAAGAAATATTATTTATCATATGAATGTAATTCCAATGTAATTATCAGTTGTCAATGACAGTCATTTAAAAAATACGTAATTTGAACGTGATTATATATAAATTATGTTAATGTGATTCAAGAAGAAATCAATGATAACGTTATCGATGTACTGGGAATAAATTGAGTTGACTTACACTGACGTCCTCAAGGCATCCGTGAAACTGGCGACCAGCTGGGCAGCCATACCTAGGCCATGAACGACCAGGCCGCAGATGGTCATCCAAAGAGTAGTTGGGCATGGTATAAACGGCGCCGGGCCAACTAAACAGAATCCTATTACTACCAGAATGCATCCGGCCACTGTGGCTACCTGAGAACACGTCGGAATTAAAATAAATTAATATTGAGGAGATCGCGCGAAATGTGAACAAGAATTTCGCAATTACTTTCGGGCGGGAGTGCTTATCACACAGCCAACCCCAGACCGGGGCTGTGATGGCGTAAGTGCCACCGTTAATGACGAACATTAAACCAAGGATGATGGGGCTCAGGCTAAATTGTCTTAAGTGCGGTTCCAGGGTGGCTTGTAAAAATCCTATGCTCATGCTCGTGGCAATTATAGACGACGTGGCTATCGCCACGCCCGGAATTTTCAATGCTTTCGTCACGCCTGCAACGTACAACAAATTACGAGTGTAGAATGTTATAAAATTGTGTTAATCATTAAATTGCAGATTTTTATGCAAAGTAAAATAGTTTTAATATCAGTTCAAGGAGTGATTTATCATATAAATATTTATTGCAATAATGCTTTTGGTATTTCGTATGCTATTACATAGTAATTATTTTACTGACTGATTAAAATTGTCGAAACCTTACCACCTGTACTGTGAGTGGCTTCACTGTTATTCGGATGAACTGGCAAGATGAATATTGTCATAACAGCAGTCAAGAACAGTGCCGATCCCAGAACTACGAACGGCGTTACATATCCACCGACCTGCATCAATTAATTATGTTTATCATAAAAAGTTAGAATGTTCACATTTATTTATTGAAACTATTCGATGATTCTTTAGTCTTATGAATTATAAGAAACAGCAGAATTGCATCTACAAACATAAGAAATACTAAGATTGTCTAATATTCGATTTTCCCCAAAACGAAAATACGATGATTCATGATTGTTACTCATAGCCCTTTGGTTTCCGAAAGGAGGAACAGGTTGAATGATTCATACCCCATGAATGTAGGAAGGAATCTAAACAGTTTCGAACGTATCGATGTGTACCTGATAAAGAGTACCACCCACGGTGGGCCCGACGATGAGGCCAAGTCCGAAGAATGTTTCTAAACTGGCAAAGGTCGTGGCAACGTTATCCGGGAACTCCTTGGCGATAATGGCAAAGCTAGCGGTAAGAAACGCTGCGTTGCCCAGCGCCTCGACGATCCTGATTACGAACGAGAGGATTATGAAGGGATAATGACCGTCGACTTTATCCAGAAGACCGAAAAATATGGCACAGGTGCCTGTCGTTAAAATCCCACCGTTGAACAACAGCTTCGGTCCGATACGATGTAACTGTACGAATTATAATTAGAAACCCAGAACGATTTTGAAAGATGTTCTATCTCTCGATCCCTTCAATCATGTTTTTTTCTTAGTTAAATAAAGATAAGACTGTCATTTATGGACTATACAACCATTTTACATTTATGGTGCTTAGTTCGTAATTTATGTATTAAACATCGCCTGAGAGTAGGCAGTCCTCCAGTAGTAAAGCAAGTGAAATAATCATACTTCAGGTGTTCCAGCCACAGTCGGTAAACAAAATTTGCACATATTTTTAATCGACGATTTTTTATTCGAATTATTATTATAAAAATAAATGGATTGCAAGAGATATTACTTACGTATCTGCCATAGACAGGACTGATTATAAATACAACGAATTCAAAGATTCCAAAGACCAGCCCATACTCTGTAGCCGATGCCCCTTTGTACTCAGCCTGCAATTAAAAAATCGAAAGCTTACTCGTTATATTTAATAAATTATTAGTGTATTTCAGCAATTCCTACATAAAAAGACATTCATATTTTCGTTATTCCATCTGTGCAATATTGAAATCCGATACAAGGATCTCCTACATGGCTACTAATAAATAGGGAAAGTGTTAGATTTAGTAAACATATTTTCAGTTCCTCATATTTGGCACTCGTAATGTTACACGATTCCGTGTTATTGCTACGCATGTCGTCGCATTATCACGCGTCCGGCTGCAATTAACGCTGGCCATGATAAATTCCGATAAACTTTAGACGTATCAACCAGCGAAGAGTCATGAACGTGGATAGGAAACGGAGCCTGAGACTCCGAGAGAAACGTCTAGCCTCTTCATCTTACAATATTTTTCAAAAAGTCGGCTGATTCAACATGAAACAAAAACTGAACTGTCTTCCTCCATCTAAAACTGTTCGAGTAAAAGATTTATGCCCTAATTAATATAATTAGCAATTATTGTGAGATACAAATTTCTGGTCATTAAATCAGATTAAAGTTCATGCCTCGGTTGATCCGTTCGCCTAATCGTTTTTTGCATTATTTGCATGTAATTGCGTACGTATAATCAGACATAAACATAATAATTATGATAAAAATAATCATAGTCGAATTGCCAATATGTGAAGTTACATTATCTGAAAATTACTTTCACAATTCAGAATGCAGGCATTTGTGTCTTAATTAAATAAGAAGATTAGGGGAATATGTGTAACGATGAACAATTTCTGAAGAAGAGATCAAAACAGAAGTTATCAGCTTCGACTGTCCGAGTGCAATGCATTCGAAAATAGGATTCCAACAATAACAGCAGATAACAATGCGAAATGATTCTTCCTAATGTAGCCAGATAACGTAATTGCAAATATTTACATTTAATTATGCCCCATTGTAATTTGTCTGATCCATCAGGATGCCTCTGATTTTTCGCACTATTATCGCAACTAATAATTAATACTGTACTTCAAATACAAATTAAATAAAGAAATAAAGAATTTCTTGAAATTGTAGGCTTGCTATTATTAGCGACAGAAAGTATATCAATTTATTATCAGCCAGTTTCATTAATGTCGAACCGACAGAGTTATACAATAACTTCCTAGACGTCGAACTTACGTTTCACATTTTTAACACTGCAATACGATACATTCGCATTGCGTAATTTATATTATGCCTCACGTCTGTATTCTGTCTATGCCAATTTGCTAGAAGACCTCTTTCTCTCTGACTAGTCGGAGTGAAAAATTAGGATGGGTCAGCGAAACATTTGACACTTGTGCGTGCAGATTTTTATGAATTATAGATGATTCAAATTATAAAACAATTAATAAAATATCATTCTTTCTTTAAATGATACTTAATCGAGTTTTAGAACGTGCGATTTATCAGAAATAAAAGAAGTGGTGAAAATATTAGTAAACAGACACGGTACGTTGCATCAGGCTTCCCAACCACGTATCTCTACTGATTGACCCGAATTTATTTGTTGTTGGAATTAGATAATCTTCTTCCTCTCGATTAATCATATTTTCAAAGAATGCAACTCAATTCTTTTGATCTACAGAATTCAGATAATGATTTATTATTAATGCATTCTCGATTTTGTATTAGATAACATTTATCATTCTCGGAGTCAAGAAATATTTGAAATCGAAACGAAAAAATTTGTTTTAAAAAACAGATTTATTTATTATCAATATCAG